GGGTTCCCGTTCGATCTTTCACCATCTGTATTCCGAGAGCCCCTGGCCAAAGAGGCCCCCGAACTCAGGAACGGCGGTCTCGCTCAAGAGTTCCTCGCACTGCAGTCAGTGGCCGACAAGGAAGAGATTCAGAGATCCCCCCCGAAATGGGGTGCGACCGAAGACGAAGTGGGCGTGTATCGAGGGTTGGCGCATACAGAATGCAAGACACGCGTGCCAGAAAGATTGTTGTTGTTGTTGTTGGTTGTGGTGGAAGTGGTGTTGTTGTTGTTGGACGGCCGGTTTGGGCGGAACCCCGAAGCCCGTGAGCGGGGGCTTAAGTTTCAAAAGAAATGCATCTGGTGCCTTGGCGAGAAAGCGCATTCAGGGTGTCCCACACTACCACACTCTGGATTAAAAAGTTGTGACTGGCACTATGCGAGAGAGCGATCCCCGCGGGTTTCGCCGGTCGACTGGCCCTCGAGCCTCCACCATCGATGAACCCCGAGATGACTCCCAGGCAGGCCCGTGAACCGAATGACGGAACGGCTGCGCAGGGCGTGGAGCTCTGCAGCACAAAGTTATGGAAATCATCGCACACGAAATCTTTGTATTCTGGCGGCATGGAAGGCAACCTGAAAGTGCTGTTTGAGGACGTCTTAAGCGAAACGACCACTCTCAGGCGGCATGAACATCGATCTGAAACTTTTTGTGAGGAAGTCTTAGGCGAAATCGCCACTTTCAGACGGCATGGGAGAATTTCAGGTCGCCCTGGAAGGCGATCTGAAACTTGTTTGAGAAAGTCCTAGGCGGAATGCCCATTTGGCCTTTATGATATTAAAGGGGGTGAGGTATGCGTCTGAAACTCCCAATTCGGCATCAAATCCAACATTGTCCTGGGCCCCATGGCCTAACGGGTGGCCAGCAGCGTCTCTCTCTCTCTCTCGAACCCCGCCGTCCCAACTTTTTAATCCAGCGGGTTGTAGTACGTGTCTAAAACTTAAGGTTCAACAACAACCTCAACAACAACAAAAACAACAACAACAACACTAACACTAACAACAACAACAACAACAACAACAACAACAACAACAACAACAGCAACAACCACAACCACAACCACAACCACAACCACAACCACAACATCACCACCACCACCAACAACAACAGCAACAACAACACCAACAATCAGTTTTAGACGGATCGCTCATATCTGTTCGTGTGCCATTCAGCACGTCTAACCCAAACCATCGATTCCCGCCCTCTCCGTCTTAGATCGTCCCCGCTTAGGGGGTATGTCTCTCTTGACCGCCACGTGCACTTCGTGCAGCCCGTCAGGCGGGGGGAGAGAAGACGCACGGAAGGACGGGACACGGGGGAGGGAGGAGGATGGAGCCCGAGAGGGAGCAGCAGCACGAGGGGGCCAGGACGAGAACACACGTGGCATCACCGGACGGGCGGATCGGGCGGGGGGACCTTAGCGGGCGGGTCGGGACGGCGCGCCCGGGCGGCCAGGTCGAGCAGGCGGCCTGCTGAAGCGTGCGTCCTGCGTGGATCCGCTGCCAGAGCGGGATTCCTGAGCGTCGCGGGCGCGGCGTCTGAGACTGATCGGGCAAGAGCAGGGAGCGCCGATGTTGTCCATGGGGCTCGTGGGGGGGAGAAGAAGAAAAAGGAGGATGGCGACGACAAGGCGGCGGATGTCGAGGATGGCAGCGCTGATGGCGGGGAGGGCATCGAGGGGGCAGAAGGACAACAACTAGGAAGACAAGCGCGAGGACGCGGAAGAGATGGAGGAGGGCGAGTACGAGGTGAAACGAAGCGGAGGAGGAGGAGAAGAAGATGGACGACGACGACGACGACGACAAAGAAGGACGGTAAGGAGCACGACGAAATGACGTCGAAGAAGAGAGGGGTCGTCGTGATTTTTTGAGGCTACCCTTTGGGCTGTTGAGGCCGTCTGGGGTTATTTTGTGGCATCCTGGGGGCCTTTTGTGGGCCTGTCGTGGTCCTCACGGGGGCTACTGGGGTCTTCTTGGGCTGTCTGGGCATGTCTGAGGGTTCTGCGGGGGCTCTCTCAGGCCATCTTGGGCTGTCTTGGGCCGTCTTGGGGCCCTCTTGGGGGGTCCCGGGGCCTCTTCGGGCGCTCTTTGGGGGCCTCCGCGCGGCTCTTGGGGGCCTCTTGGGGGTCTCTTCGGGCCTTCCGGGAGCGAGTCCAAGAAGATGTTGATTTGGAGACCCCTCCAGAGCCGATTATTCGAGGATGTCCCGAGCGAACAGCAGTTTTTCAGAAGCCCTGAGAGAACACAAACCAGGTAAGGGGCGTTTTGAAGCCTCTTGGGGCCTCTTTTGGGCCTCTTGGGGTCTCCTGGGGGCCCCTCGGGGCGGAAGGCTCGAATCATCAAATCGTGTTCCCCCTCTTTGGCCCCTCTTGGGGCCATCTTGGGGCCCTCTTGGGCCGGTTTTGAGTGCCTCTTTTGCCGTCGTGGGGCCGTCTTCGGGCCCTCTTGCCAGCCTCTTTGGCCATCTTGGGGCAATCTTGGGAGCCATATGGGCCGTCTTGGAACGTCGGAAGCTCGAAATGGCGGCAACACCAAAAACATTAAATAATAAAGGAACATCAATGGTTCTGTCCTCTCGGGGCCCTCTAGGGAGGGCTCTCGAGGCTCTCCCGAGCATTTCAAAAGCCTTTTGGGCCGTCTTGGAACTTCGTCTTGGGGCTCTCTTGGGTCTCTCTTGTGCCGTCTGGGGGGTGCTTGGGGTGATCTGCCGCCGTCGTGGAGGCCTGTCGGGCCGTCTTGGGCTCGAAACGGCAACTTCTCCGGAAGCCTATCCAGACAAGAATGGGAAGCACCGCTTCTCTGAGTTTGCGTGCGCGCCCGCACGGATTTGCGCGACATGGGTACATATGCGGTACCGTCACTGGGCTTCCTTGAATATCCAGATGGTTACCCATAGTAGCTTGCGTACGAGGCCGACGAGTTGGAGGAGCTCGAATGGTGTGGCTCCCCTGGTAGTTGTGTTGCTGCTCCTTCTGAGCAACCATAGACATTGGACATCAGTGCGACCAAGAAGAGACGCCCCCTTGGGGGAGAGAGGGACAGGCAGGGAAGGGTGAGGCAGAAAGGAAGAAACATGAGCAAGACGACGAAGAAGCGGCGGAGGAGGGGAGAAGCAGCGGGGGAGAGGGAGTCGAAGGAGGTGCAGGAGCAGTAGCAGCCGGCGAGAGGGAGCAGGAGGCGCGGGATGGGCACAGGCACGACGACTGCGCGGTCAAATCTGGACCAACGGAAACAGTTGGGGGAGCAGGACGAGATGGGGGTGGAGGCGGACAAAGAATGGGGGAGGGGCAGGAGGAGGACGACGACGACGCTAGCGGCGGGGACGAGGACGGCTACACGAAGAAAGAGGAGAGGAACGCTAGCGAAGGGGACTAGGACGACTACAGGAGGAAAGAGGAGAGGGATGAGGAGGTGAGGGCGGCGGAGGCGGAGGAGGAGGAAGAGGAGGAGGAGCGGGATGGATGGTGGCTCCTGCCCAGTGCCCTCAAAAGGGGGAGATGGGCAGTCAGGGCGTGGAGGCGCTGAGTGTGAAGCTCTGGCCGATGGTGACGAGCGGCGAGAGCAGCAGGAGCAGATGGGGCGAGGGACGAGGCGCAGGAGGACGAGGGCACGGATGAGAAGAAGGACGACGAGAAGCGGGGAAGATGGAGTGGGCAGGGGACTGCCAGCCTGAAACTTCTGGTCGGCGCCTTCGGAGCGGACCCGTCGCGGTCAGGCCTGCACTGGGCTGCAATGGCAAACGAGCTGGGCAGCCAGCCTGAAGCCGATCCCCCTGCCCATGACTGGCATCACCTGATCTCGACGCCGATCTTAGGGGGTCCTTCAGCTCCTGCGGGCGCATCCCTAAGCCTGTCATCGGCTCTGTGCTTGTCAATCTCAGGGACAAGGATGAAGCCCGAGCCTGGTGAGGGGAGGCACTCTTGAGCGCGGAGGAGCGGCGGCAGCAGGCGCAGAGGGACGAGGGACGAGGAGGAGGGCCGAGGACGCCGAGGAGAAGGAGGAGGAGGGGGACGACAAACGGAGGAAGGAGGACCGAGGACGCCGAGGAGAGCGAGGACGCCGACAGGCGGGGAAGGAGGGCCCAGGACGCCGAGGAGGAGGAGGAGGACGACGACGACAGACAGGGAGGGAAGGAGGGCATGGCAGGGGACCCAGAGATCCGATGTCGTGATTTTTCAGTACGGGGTCCCTGGAAGTCTCGACCCACTCCCCAGGACCGGTTCCTCATCCCGAGTCGTTTTTTTGACGGCCCCGCGGCCTGGCGAGGGCCCCCAGAGGCCGAAAATTGCAACAAAAAAAAAAAAAAAAAAAAAAAAAAAAAAAAAAAAAAAAAAAAAAAAAAAAAACGTCTTGATTTTTCCCATACGTCGGATCTCCGGGGAGGCGCTCTCCGAGCGGGCCCGCTCCCCGCCGCGGCGCTCCCCGCCGCGCTCTCGCAGAGAAGCCCTAGGCCCTGCGTCCTCCTCCTCCTCCTCCTCCGCCTCCTCCTCCGCCTCCTCCTTCTCCGCCTCCTCCTTCTCCGCCTCCTCCTCCTCCTCCTCCTCCTCCTCCTCCTCCCCTCCTCCTCCTTCCGCCACCCCCTCCTCCTCCTCCTCCGCCTCCCTCTCCTCCTCCTCCTCCTCCTCCTCCTCCCTCCTCCTCCTCCTCCTCCCCTCCTCCGCCTCCTCCTCCTCCTCCTCCTCCTCCTCCTCCTCCTCCTCCTCCTCCTCCTCTCCTCCTCCTCCTCCTCTCCCCTCCTCCTCCTCCTCCTCCTCCTCCTCCTCTCCTCCTCCTCCTCCTCCTCCTCCTCCTCCTCCTCTCCTCCTCCTCCCTCCTCTCTCCCTCCTCCTCCTCCTCCTCCTCCTCCTCCTCCGCCTCCGCCTCCTCCTCCTCCTCTTCTCCTCCTCCTCCTCCTCCTCCTCCTCCTCCTCCTCCTCCTCCTCCTCCTCCTCCTCCTCCTCCCTCCCCGCCGCGCTCGCAGAGGCCCTGGGCCCGCCTCACCGCCGCGGCCGCGGGCGCGGGGGCCCTGGCGCCGCCGTGGTGGGCGGACGCCCCAGGCCCGCACGTGGTGTGGGGGGGAGGAGCTCTCGCGGCGCCGGCGCCGCGACGTTGTCGCCTCCACTCGGGCGCGAATTTCCGGCGAGCGCAAGCATGGATTCCGTGGGCGTGGAGCAGCGACGGGTGCCGCTGCCACGGGAAATCGCGGATTTCCGCCGCCGGGCGAGGCTGCACCGGCCGCATTTTGGGGAGGGCACTTCCCCCGATCCATGGATTTGGCGACCGCGCGCTAAATTCATGGATCGCTGATCCATGTTTGCGCGCCCCCCAAGGATTCATGGGGTGGCGGTAAATGGGGGGGGGGAGCGAGGGCTGAAGAAAAGGGACCTTGAAGAGCCCCTAGAGGGGCCCCGTAGGGCCCAAGAGGGGGCCTCGAAGGGCCCGAAAAGAGGGCAACTTTCTTCTCCCCCATGTGGCGCCCCCCTCCCCCCCATTATTTCGCCTTGGCATCGCTTGCACGTGCGCATTTACTCTCGGCGAGGACCATCGAGGAGCCTTTTAAGATCATCTAGCGGGGGAAAAAAAACAAAGCAACAAAAAAACGCACGAGACCGAAAGATGCACGGAGAATGGGCGTCCGAGCGATGGTCAGGCGCGGGCCTTGAGACGGGGGTCAATTCAAATCGCCATCGGGGAAGCGGGTCCTGAGGGAAACGGGTCTTGGGGCTTTTCGCCGTTTTCGGGCTCTCAGGTCCCCCACGGGCCCCAGGACTGTCAGAAATCGATGCAGGAGGCAGAATTCGTCCTGGGGGATGGCCCCAGGGCCCAGGACCCGTTTTCCACATGACCCGTTGTCCCCATGCTAATGAGGCGGGGGTCAATGCAAAAGAGGATCAGCCAGAGCGCCGAATCTTGCAGGATACTGCTGGGCCAGGGGTGCATTGACCCGGGCTAGCGCGCAGGATCCTGCAGGTTACAGGATCCTGCTGGATCTTGCAGGTATCCTGCAAAGCCTGACTGACCCGGGTCTGCATCGACCCGGGTCAGTGCGTCCCTGACCGCTTCTCTTGGGCCTCCTGTCCGAAGGACGCTGCCCGTGCTCGCGTGCTGATGCGCTGCGCCTGTGCGTCCTGCCTTCCATAGCTACCGCAAGTCCAATTTTGCGGTGGCCGATAGGGGAGCATCTCAGCACGGACGCACAGCAGCGCGCAGCGCTCGCCGCCGCCTTCGCCTCCGCCCTGTCACGCAACTGGCTGCTGGGCTCGTCGGGGGAACCGGCTGCGCCCTCGGCTGCGGTCGATCCTGCCCGGAGGGAGCAGCGTGCGGCAGGATCGCGCGCCCCGCTCTCCGGGTGGGGGGGAGGGGGGGGGGGCAGTTGTCGGTGGGCAGGCAGGCTGGCATTCAGGCAGGAAGCTTACTACGGTGGGGGCGGTCGTTGAGGAACGTGCCCAGGAGGCTCCACGCCCTGGATGATTCCTTCGCTGGCGCGGGCGGCGGTGATGTCCATGGCCAAGCCTCGATTGGAGTTCCACCGGCTCACAGACCCTCGGTTCCTTGTCCAATGTTCCCGTCCAATTCCCTTACCGCACCGACTCCAGCAAGTGGGTGTAGTCTCTAGTATACATGTCTCCTGCGGGCACCAGGCTTCTGTAATGTCAGATCTCTTGATGTCGTGGACTGGATCCTCGCGGGGCCGCCGCACGGGGCCGGGCAAAGCGTACGTCGGTCATAGGCGAGATGATGCTGTGGTTGAGGTGCATCGGTTGACGTTCGACCAGTAGGCGGCGGAGGAGGGCAAGACGACGACAATGGTCAGGATCAGGCCGTAGACGAAGACACGGAGTGGGGCGAGGAGGGCGAGGACCAGTGTAAACCCAAGATGTATCAACGATGTTGCAGTCCACTCTCCCGTCGCAAGCCCTCTCCGCTACAAGATGTGTGCTCCACTGCGGGAAGCGCTCCGTTTGAAGGACGAGCGGCCCCTTGGCCCGCAGTTCGAGCGGAAGAAACTCCATGTTGAAACAAGCAGCCCTCCATCTTTCGAGCTGGTATATAGATGCCCGGCGAGAGCTCCGCTTTCAAAAGCAACCGCTCTCCGCCCGTGCAGCTGTCCCACCTCGAAAGATTTCCCGCCATGGCACCCAAATAATCCCAGCTAGCACACACGCACATTTCGAAAAGGAGCTGTCCACCCGTGTAACAAGACAGGCGCGCGCGTCGCCAAGGCAAAAGCCAAATGTTCCGTCCTTGCATCTGCTGAATACGCTTAGGCCAGGCCTGTCCCTCTACAGGAGGGATATCCCTAAAGAGTCCAAAAATAGTCCGGGGACGATTTGTTTACACTATCTTGGAGCATTTGGGAGATAGATTTGTTCTAGTATGTTTCATTTTTCGCCCGAAATCCCCCTGTAGGGGGACATGCCCGACCTACAACCCCGTGCGAAAAGCAACTGGTGCTTGGTGAGCCCCCCGGCCCCCCGTTTCAATGTGGATCGCGCGACCGGCGAAGCTCGAAAAAAGAATCGGCACCGCATCGAGCATTGAAACTGGAGGGGGGGAGGTGTGCAGAAAAACACCCGGGGGGAGGGGGAGGAGGAGGAGGAGGAGGAGGAGGAGGAGGCGGAGGAGGAGGAGGAAGAGGAGGCAGAGGCGGAGGCGGCGGAGGAGGAGGAGGAGGAGGCGGAGGAGGAGGAGGCGGAGGAGGGGCGGGGGGAGGAGGAGGAGGAGGTGGAGGAGGAGGAGGAGGAGGCGGAGGCGGAGGCGGAGGAGGAGGAGGAGGAGGAGGAGGAGGCGGAGGAGGAGGAGGAGGAGCAGGGTGCGCGGCGCGGGCGCGAGAGGGCCACGCCCCGAGAGCGGCCCGCGCCCTCCGCCCGAGCAGAGCGACCGGGCACGCCGCTCGAGCCCAGAAGAGGCCGCTGGGCCCAGCAGCACCCCGGGCAGCAGTGCCCGGCGGTGCGGCTGCCCGGGGCGGGGAAGCACACGGAGACACGCCGGGGGCGGGAAAGAGGGGGGTGATGACAAGGGGGGTGTTGATATCATGGCGTGGGCCTCCCTCCCAGTCATGATATCATGTTGATATCATGACTAGGAGGGTCCAAGAGGGGGGTGATGACTAGGGGGGTGATGACTAGGGGGGTGATGACTAGGGGGGTGTTGTTATTCCCCCAGATTTTGTGGCGCCTCTTCTTATTTCTTCACGTCCCTGGCCCCCCCGCTGGGCCGCGCACATGCCGCCGGTCATGATTTGCACCCTCCCCTCTGGGACACCCCCCTCTCGGTCCCGAACACGAGGAGTCGTCGATCCCCCGGAAGATATGCCTCCTCTCCCTCGTGTCCCCCTTGCCCGAGTCTGGGGCCGTTGCCGGTGTTGGTCTTCTGCCGTCGCGGGTCGGCGGAGTTTCGGCCACGCTCGCAGGACAGCTTGGCGGGCTCAGTTGTTGTGTTCGTCGTGTGGCTTCGGGAAGATCGCCCTCTGGAGGGGCAGCGGATCGGGCGGGCTGCGCGTGGAAACAAGAGCCCAGAAAATGTGGGAATATATGGGAGATCCTGTTCTTTGCGTGTATGTGTTTGCGTGTCCCCGGGTCCCTTCAGTTTATGAGGGCGAGGGATGGACGAGGCGCGGAAGAGAGAGGACTGCGCGAAAGCCACCTCGGCCCTCCGCGTAGCGACCTGCCCCCCCCCACGCAGGCCTCACGGAGCAGGGCACCGCCGCCCTGCGCGAGCACCCCGAGCGGGGGGCCACCCCGCCGACCTGCGGCCACGGGGGCGCCCTCTTCTGCAGCACCCTGGACGCGTGCGTGCCGCGGGATCGCGGGAAGCTCCCCCCGGGTCGAGGCACGGCTCGGAGCAGCGCTCTCCGGAGTCCGCGGCCGGGGAGCTCGGCATTCGCTCTCCCGCTCCTCGCCCCGCTCCCCCCAGGGTCTCCCAGCTGAGGTCCGAGCACATGGCACACGGGTGGGAGGATCGCGCCGCATCTATTCGGACCCCACTGCAGGGGCCTCCTGGCCTCGGAACTCGGAGCAGGGAAGCGCAGCAGTCGCCCTCTCCTCGCATTTGGTCTGGCGAGGGTTGTGTTTGTTCGTTATACCAATTATTCCTTGGCGCTACGAAAACACAGGCCAGCTTCACTCCAACCGTTCAGCGCTCACTGTCTGCGCAGGTCTCGGGCCCTCACAGATCATTGCATCGCGTGGTTTGGGAATCACACGCCCCACGGTTGCACTCCGCGAGACAAGTGTCTCCTAAACCCCCAACCATCATTCTCCAATCAGTGTTTGCAGCGTGTGGCTCCTGATTCTTCTGTGAGATACTTGGCGTGAGGCTGCAATGATGGTTCGTCGCCGCGGGTTGCGCTCAAGCTGCGCCACGGGTTGCGCCCATGCGCAAGCGTTGCACCCGAGGCCTCATGAAGTTCTCGTAGTTCTAGGTTACACCAATTAGATTACGGCAGGTTCGCGTCGTTCAACCTTGAACGATCGGCCCTTTCCGAGACGTGCGATCCTTCAACATCGACCGATTCTGGATCGCTGGCGGCGTTCAACCTTGAACGCCCACGCTGGGGTCGCCGCCGGTCGACACGACACGAGCCTACCGTACGCCTGCGGCACCAAAAGCTTTTCGCCGCCATAGAGTATGCCCATGGTTTGAACGATAGGTTTGTGCCCATGCGTTGCGCCTGAGACACCCTGGAGTTCCCATGACAAAACCTGGGTGGCGCCAGCAAGGTGCGCCATGAGGACTCTGCGTGCCCATGGGCTACGCAATAGGCGTTGCCCGTGGGTTCCACTTGAGTCGCAGGGGGTTGCGTCGCCGCGGGTACCGCCTGGGTTGCGCCCGTGGGTTGCATTTAAGGGCACGAGGATAGTGCGTGGACATAGGTCATGCCCATGAGTTGCGCCACGGATGACGCCTGATGGATTTTCTGCTTGGTATGATGCTGCATGGAGTTAGCACCACTTGGCAACTCCTTGCTCCACTCTGCGCTAGGTTGCTGCCTGGGGCCCAGGGCGACATTGCTTGGTTTGGGCTGAAGTGTCGGGACCATCCATTCTTCATTCGGACCTCGGCTCGGCTGTCGTGAGCGCAGACTCTGTGTGCTGGAGCTCGACCTCCAGCGCTCTCATCAGGAGAGCGTGCCCGGCGTGCCCAGGTGCCGAGCTGCGAGGCATGCCAGGGGGCAGGCCTGACCCGTACCGGCGAGCACCGCTGCGTGGGCCATCCTCGGGCGACGCCCTCAGCGTGCCCCCCCGGCTGCTCCGCGACCGAATCGCCCGCGCACGCGAGCCGACTCCGTGGCCAGGAGGGCGCCGTCGCCTCCGAGAGGGTCAGGTTTACCGCTCTAGCTAGCGTCCATGACCACTGGATGGGTATTCAGGGCTTCCCGTACATGGGCATTAGATTCGAGCTCTGTGGCCCAAGATCCCCCCCAGACCCCCCGAAGTGAATACATATATATATATATATATATATATTGATGGCGCGACGACGGGGGGGGCGTGAATGGACAGAAAAATCCGAACCCTAGTGAAAGCACTGCGTTTACTGAGATCAACATTCATGTCGGGGGCGTGGGGGTGATTCAGAATGTTCCTCGAATGTGTAAGGGTTCGAATATTTTGTCCATCTACTGTCTTCGGAGGCGTTGTGATGTAACTTCAAGCCGAGCGCACAGGGACCGCCGACAAATGCCATGGACCAAACCCAGTCGCGCGAGGGGCGTATTTTCACGTGTGCGCCGAGATGCAGGGAGCTCGAGCAAACTGCGCGGGCTGTTGTCGTTGCGCAGGTGCTGCGAAAAGTATGTCCTGTTGGTTTGGTCATTTGCATTGGGACAGCTCGAGTTCTGACCTGGGTGAAGCAAGGATGGCGTCTTCGAGCTGCCTGGACGACATAGTCAGGCCAGTTGTGGTCTATCTGGTGGCGCCGGCACGTGTCGATTTCACAATCCATTGGTTGCAGTCACTGCTTCGTGAGCCTGGGAACTGGACGCAGGACGTAATCCCCTGTCCCCCGGCGTATCTCTGAATCGTTACCTCCCTATGCTTACGGCGTTGGGAAGCCAGCCTCTGCCTAGGATACCAAGCAATCATTGCCTCAGTCTCGGCCGAAAGCCTGACCAGTGCGGGCGCTGTGATTACGCAGTTATCGCCATCATCGCCTCCAGCGCAGAACTGCTCGTGGTACGGAGCAGATGTGCACGTACGCATCGAAATCCACCCCACTCCGTTCCCAAGTCGTTCGGAACGGCAGGTCTTGGAAAGTCCGTGGGGCCAATCATGACCACGAGGATGCGCTTGGGGGGAGGGGCAGGCAGAGCAGGAGGAGCAGGCCCCAGGAAGAGAAAGAGGAGAAGGATGGCGGGCTGCGTCCTCGCCACCTACCATGGACGTGGCACCCGCATGGTCAGCGGCTGCCCGATCTGGCTTGCGATCACAGTTGGCACACGAAGCCCGTGGACATCTGCTAGTGACGAAATGTTTTCGTGATCTGGAGACCAGCGCGACTCGGAACATCATGCACGGGAGTCACACACGTCCCATTCCAAGACGACCCCAGGAATAATAGAGACCGCAACAGTCACGTTCCCACGGGCCACGCACCGTTGGGTGTGCAGATTGCTCCACGAGCGCAGCGAAGTGCCCAAAACGAATCGGCCACGACCGATCTTGGGGAAGGCACGACATCCGTCAACCCCGCGTTCCAGTGGTCCTGGGCAAGGGAGTGTCCCAGGCAAGGAGGTTGGGATGGGGAAGGTGCCCCTCGGCTGCACCGGACGTTGACATAAGCACAGAAAAAAAGCAAACAAACAAACAAAACAGTTGTCTTGGCAAAAGGCCAAACCGCATGCAGTTGTGAGTACCGCGTTGTGGGTTTCGGTGGGGCTCCCTATGGGGCCACGACCTTCGTGAGGGGTGTGCCGAATCAGGCGGAGGGACGCATGCGGACCCTGCCAATGAGGCCTTCGGTGGAGCTCTCTATGGGGCCACGACCCTCGTGAGCAGTGTGCCGAAATGGGCGAGGGGACGCATGCGGACCCTGCCACTGGGGCCTTCGGTCGAGCTACCTATGGGGCAGTGATCCTCGTGAGGGGTGTGCCGAACTGGACATGCGGAGAGCAGAGGCAGAGATGGGAGGAGGGAGGTCGGGGAGAAGGAGTGAGTGAGGAACCCAACACCACAGGATGGTTGGGAGAAAACTTCCGCAGGGCTGCGCGGATATCTTGGATCGGCGCTGGAGCATTGGTTTGCGCGCTCTGCGCGCTAGAGGCGGCGCCGGAGGCGCCGCCAGAGTGACCCAGTGCCAATCATCCAAAAGAGCCGCGCAGAGCTCCGAAAGTTTCTGTTTGTGCAGTTTGTTTTTGCACCTCGTCGTCATCCTCCTGTTCTTCCTCCTTCCGTCCTCCCGGCGCGCATTCGGCGCATTCAAGCCGCTTGGGGCACGCGTTTGGCGGCGCATGGCTTCGAGTCGAACGATGACTGGAGGAGGAGCGAGGGAGGAGAGAGGAGAATCTGGACTGCACCCGGGCCGTTTTCTTGGATATCTTTTTCGTTGCTTCGTCGAATGTTCGTATATCTGGACCTGGGTTGCGGTAAAAGAAACTGGAGTGACATCTATGTTCGAAGCCTACAACCTTCTTAATTCTAGGCAGGGGTGTACATAGTCTCTCTGTCTGCCGCACGGGTTCTGGGCGGCTTCGCTGCCGCACAGCGGCCGCGGCTGTGCTCACCGAGCACCTGCGCCGGCAGGGGCTGCCGTCAAGCTTGAGGCGGCCGTCTCGGAGCTCTACTCGGTCGGCGAGCAGGGCGCCATCCACGAAGGCTTCATGGCTCGTGGCGACAAGGAGCGCCAGAGTCCGTCATGGCCCTCCACCGAAGGAGCTGCGAGTTCGGCCGGGCCCGTCCAGGAGTCGGCCGTGCGCCGTCGCTCCTCTGCTTGCGCCAACTCCGCGCCGACCTCGGGGAGGAGGTCGTCGGCACACGGCGCAGACGTGCCTGGCGGGGCTTGGCGGCCAGGCCCTGCGCGCGCTGGGCTGGGCCGCGGGCGCCGAGCGATGGCGGCGGGCCTGCCGGCCGGCGAGCTTATGCGGCGGCGGCGGCGGCGGCGGAGCAGAGGGGAGCGAGACAGCGTCGTGCTTCATCTGTACGGCGGGGAGACGGTTTGCGATTGCTGTGCGAGGGAGGAGGGAGGGAACCATAACCCCAACGCCCGGACGGGGATGGGGACCCACTCGGGGGGGCCCCTGGGCGTTTCTAGGGGGAGGGAGAGAGAGGGAGGGAGGGAGGGAGGAGAGGAGGGAGGGAGGGAGGAGGAGGAGGAGGAGGAGAGGAGGAGGAGGAGAGGAGGAGGAGGAGGAGGAAGAGCCAGGAGGAGGAGCCAGGAGGAGGAGCCAGAAGGAGGAGCCAGGAGGAGGAGGAGGAGGAGGAGGAGGAGGAGGAGGAGGAGGAGGAGGAGGAGCGAGGAGGAGCGAGGAGGAGCGAACGAGGAGGAGCGAGGAGGAGGAGGAGGAGGAGCGAGGAGCGAGGAGGAGCGAGGAGCGAGGAGCGAGGAGCGAGGAGGAGCGACGAGCGAGGAGCGAGGAGGCTGGCTTGTGCCTCTCGTGCTGGCCGCGCGCGGCGCGAGCCGAGGCCGTTGCCGCGCGGCGTGCCGCCTTCACGGACACGGACCTCCGCCCCGCCTCCGTCGGAGGCCCGCTGAGGCCCCGTGGGGGGGGAGGGTCGAGAGGCGACGCCGCCCGTCTGCCGCGGCGCGGGGCCTCCCGCCGGCCGGCGGCTCCCCAGCCCCCGGGGGTGCCCTCCAGCGGCTGCGCCTCGTCGAGGGCGCTCCTCGGGGGTGGGGGGGGGGGCGGGATCGCCCCCCAGGGCCGCCGGAGGCCCCGAGCTATGTGGCCCAAAGGTCAGCGTGGAGACCGCGGTCGGGGGCAGCGTTCGGGGGGATGGGCTCTTGGCGGGGGGACGCATCGGCCCCCAGCCGCCCAGCGATCGCCCAATGGAGGGCCCGGCGCACCGCAGCGCGGTCGAGACAAGCGGTGCGGCGCTGTTTTGAAAAGCTCGGGTGCCAGCTTGCTGCGCCGAGCTGCTCCGCAAGCGCTGGGTGGGGGGAGGTCGCGCTGCGGGGAAAGACCGGGCTCTCCTTCGCGAGGCGTGGGGGGGGGGGTCGCGTTCGGGGGTGCGTTCGGTGCGCGTGGGAGTGGGCTTGCCGAATGAATCTGCGCGTTTCGTACATGCCGCTCGCTTCGCTGCCACTCGGATGTGGCAGCTTACTAGATTCAGGCCGCGGCTCACAAAACCTTCGTGTTGCTCAGAATCTCCCCCACAATAGGATACCGATTAGGAGCCCTAATCGGGACCCTCGGTCACAGCCTCCTCCTCCTCCTCCTCGCCCCTCCTGCCCCTCCTCTCCCTCCTCCTCCTCCTCCTCCTCCTCCTCCTCCTCCTCCTCCTCCTGCTCCTCCTCCTCCTCCTCCTCCTCCTCCTCCTCCTCCTCCTCCCGCTCCTCCTCCTCCTCCTCCTCCTCCTCCTCCTCCTCCTCCTCCTCCTCCTCTCCTCCTCCCCTCCTCCTCCTCCCTCCTCCTCCTCCTCCTCCCTCCCTCCTCCTCCTCCTCCTCCTCCCCTCCTCCTCCTCCTCCTCCTCCTCCTCCTCCTCCTCCTCCTCCTCCTCCTCCTCCTCCTCCTCCTCCTCCTCCTCCTCCTCCTCCTCCTCCTCCTCCTCCTCCTCTCCCTCCTCCTCCTCCTCCTCCGTGGCCATTTTGGCGCACGCAGTCTTGCGATGCGGAAAATCCCGGAGGCCTCGCGGGGCGCGCCGTAGTTATATATCGTCCAGTCCACACGTCCGCCCCGTCGGGTATCCGACGGCGAAGTCGCGCGGCGATGTGCCGAAGTGTGAAAATCCGACGTGAGTCCGAGACGTCGAGTGGGTCTCGGGCTGCCCCGCGAGGCCCCCGGGATTGCCCGCAAGCGTTCAGGAGCGAAAGAAGGACGTACACGTACATGAATCCATGTCGGTTTCGAGAGTACGCAGTGCGCGAATGTTCGTATCACGCGGCCGGTCTCGCGGATCGAGGGGCCGTGTTCATGTACATAGCTGGGCGCGTACGTCCTTTGTGGGCTCCCTAAACGATCTGCTTCAAAGCGGGCCGTGCCGCCCCGGGCCATCGGGGCACGACGTGCGGCGGGGGCGCAGCGTCGTGGCGTTGCGCTGCCGCGTCCACCCCAGCTCGCTGGCCAGAAGCTGCCGGGAGACGTGATCGTCGTGGGGCCCCCACACGGCGCGATGATGACCACAACGCGTGGTGGGTCAGTGGGGATTCGGGGTCACCGCACAGTGACGGGACTCGGGTCGTTCTCCGCAGACGTCTCCGGTGACCAGGGTCTCCGAGGTCCCAAAATCGTGCAGTGGCGGACCGCGCAGTGCGGGCTTTCGCGACTTCGAGGTCACCGTGCAGTGCGTCACCACACGGTTTTGGGACCCCTACGTGATCGTATTGGCAGCGTCGAGCACTTCGCGTTTGTCTCTGATGTTCTAGGTGCGCTGGCTGTTGGCGTGGCTCGCAGGATAGTCTGTTCGTCGCTTTCAGACGGCCCTGGGCGGCGATCTCGTGCGACATTCGACTCGCGCCCCACCCGCACGGCGACAGTGCAGACACCGGCTCTTGCTCCTCTCCCTGTCCCCCTCTGTTCCCCAGCGAGGCCGCCCTACAACGCGCCGCATCTCCGCACGTGACCGTCCTCGCGCCCCCAGGTTGCTTGCTGCTGCTCGTAGCTTGCTGAGCCCTCCAGGGACGCCTCAGCTGCTGCCGCGGAGTAGATGTGTTCCTCCGTGGCGAGCTATTGCTACAGTAGTGCGGACCTGCACGAGCCGGAGCGTGTTATGTCTCATGCAGCGCCGTTGGGTCTCGCGTGGGTAGTCAGGGAACAAATGCCCAGCTTCACGCAGGCAACTATCAAGTCGCAGCCCCACACACGCTCGAAACAGGATCCTCGGGCCGGGCCTGAGGGCGCTGGGCAGCAGCCGTGGCAGCAGCTGCGGTTCCTGCCCTGCCGCTTGCTCCAACGCCGCCCGCACGGCCCACGCGCTGTGCGACCCGCGCGGGGCAGTCTCCAGAGGGTCGGAGGGCGAGGCCTGAGGGCGGAGCGGCGGGACTCGGCGGGGCTTCCGAGCGCAGCCAGGACAGGGCGCGCAGATGTGTTCACCGGGCGGCTCCACGACCTCGACTCTCTTCGGCGGCGCCGACCAAAGGGGGTGGCGCGAGGGGGGGGCGGCCATCCGAGACGGCGGCGGGGGGCGGGCTTCTGAGAAGGCAGGGGCTGCGTCAAAAAAGGGCCCGAGGCCTTCTGAGGACGCTTCCCAGAAGTTGGGCGGGCTTTAGGCAGGCACCCGCCGCCCCCCCCCCTTCGCCGCCACCCCCCTCGCCGCCGTCTTACAAAGCCAAGCCCCCTCGCCGCCACCCCCAAGGCCCCCTCGCCGCCACCCCCCTCGCCGCCGTCATACGCCCCCTCGCCGCCAACCCGTCGTGCCCGGGCTGGAGCCCCCGCCGGGGGGCGGCTCCAGCAGGGAGTCCACGGCGCTGCCGTGCGGCAGCCAGGGCCTCGGGGCCCCCGTGGCCAGCGTGCGGGCCCCATGCATGTGCACCGCCGTCACCGCCGTTCCTCCTCCCTTCTTTTCTCAGGAGGGAAAAAACACACAGACACAAGTAATCGTCGACCCCCCAGAAAAATATGGGAAAATATGGGAAGTGGTGGGGAAGACAAAAACCCAGAAAATATTGGAGAATATGGGGAATCCTTTTTTTTGTGTGTATTTATTTGTGTGTCCCAGGGCCCCTTCATCTGCTTTCTCCCTCCTCCTCCCCTCTCTCCTGGGAGAGGGATGGGGCGAGGGAGGTGGTGGCGGTGTACATTTTTGAGCCCCCGCCGGCGGCGCTGTCCGCCGCCTGGCGCCCAGGTCTGCGGGGCCCCCCTCGGGACTGAAGCGGTCCTCCCCGGGGGACGCGGTGGCACAGGCGCGGGCCCCCGTGCAGACGGTGGGGCATGGATTGGGGCGCGCGTGCCCTCTTGGGAAGTCCCCGCCAGGAGGGGCCGCGTTGGCCTCCTTCCCTCCTCCTCCTCCTCCTCCTCCTCCTCCTCCTCCTCCTCCTCCTCCTCCTCCTCCTCCTCCTCCTCCTCCTCCTCCTCCTCCTCCTCTTTCCTCTCCCTGCCCTCCTCCTCCCCCCTAGCCTCTCCTCCTCCTCCTCCTCCTCCGCGCTCGCCAGGCCAGCCCCCGCTGGTCGAAAGAAAGTGGGACCAATGGGTCGGCGGCGACGATAGGGGCGAATAGCCCAGGGGCGGGCATTTATCGCATTCGCCCGGAAACCTTTTCGAAGACATGGATCATCGGCGCTCCTGAATACATCTGTTGCTCTCCCCTGGGCTATTCGCCCCTGTCGTCGGCTCTGAAAGGGGTCAGACCTCGTGTGAAGTGATCCCTTCCTCACTGCGGAAGAAGGGGATCCCATACACCACCACGTGCGAGCGCAAAGGGCTTTCCTGATTGAGAGCCCCAGGACCAGATCCAACACCCCATACCTTTGAATCGCGATTCACTCAATGGCCTGGAAACGTACCCATATCCACGGTGTGCTGGGCCTGGCCCTTGGGCCGCGGCCCAATGGATGCGTACAGATATTTTTGTTCGCGGATGCCCCGCGTGGGACATCTGTGCCACCGCGTATCCACGGAGTCGCGTCCCAGAATCCAGATTGGGAGGGCGTGGTTGTGGATACGTTCGCCGCTCGTGATCCACAGCATGCTCTGCGCCAGCGCCAGGTCGGAATCTTCACACGCAACAACTACATGCGCGCTCGTCTCTGCACCAGAAATGCCGCTCGTACGTGCATCGCCCAGCGGCCGTGGTCTTTGCGCGCGGCTGGTGCCCTGGAAGTGCCCGCCACGACTGGGAGGGGAGCTTTGCCGCGCCCGTGGCAAACGCCCGGCTCGATTGATCTTCGGTTGCGTTGCCGGCGCGGCTGGCAAGAGCGGCGAGCGCGGGACGACGAGCACTCGGGAGACGACGGCGTAAAGCTGGAGGAATGAACCGGAGGGAGGCTGCGGAGCTGCGGATCGGGCGTTGCCAGAGGTGCCCCTGGCCCAAGGTGCCCCCCTGAGGTCCGAGGAGGCCCTCTGGGCCTCCCCAGCACCCCTCACGAGGCCGAGAGGTCCCCAGGGGCTCCAAATGAAGCTGGAGGAAGGCTGCGGAGCTGCGGATCGGGCGTTGCCGGAGGTGCCCCCCGGCCCAAGGTGCCCCCCGGATGTCCAAGGAGGCCCTCTGGGCCTCCCGAGCACCCCCTCACGAGGCCCAGAGGGCCCCAGGGGCTCCCACTGCAGCGACAGGCCGGGGGCACCTTGGGCCAGGGGCACCTCTGGCATTAAGTCGGGCCTGGCCCTCTACAGTAGGAATTTGCAAAAATTGGCACAAAACAAAAAAAACATAACAGGGGGAAAAAGTTTTCAACATTTTCTGGCTATGTTTGGAGGCGTTTTGGCTATGTTCGATTTTTCCTCGAAAATCGGCCTGTAGGGGGACATGCCCGACCTAACTCTAGCAACCCCCGATGGGAGGGGGGGAGGTGCAGGGTTCAAGCAGTGGCGAAGCGTCCTGGCTCGCCTATAGTCTCACCAAAGAATGTTCTAAGAACCTCTTGTGGTCCGTACGAGATGTTCTGAGAACATTTCTGGCTGGGACTGTTTTGTTTTGACACATCGGCCTTGTGTTCTAAGAACATTGTTTTTGTTCTTAGAATAGTCTGGGGTTCTAAGAACATTTCGTGGTAGGACTATAGGAGTGCCAGGACGGTCGGTCCCTGCTCAAAGGGTGGGGGGCCCTGGGAGGGGGAGGCAGGAAGGCCTGGAGGTCGGAGGGCCCCCGGGGGGAGGGCACGGAGCCTCGGGGCAGAGCGGGGCGCGCGAACGAGCACGAGTTGTGCTGCGTGCGCCGCGTGCCGCCTCGGGCCTTCCGCTTGGCATCGCTCGGACGTGTGCATGTTTCCTTCGGCGAGGACCATCGATCAAGCAGTGGCGAAGCGTCCCGGCTCGCTTATAGCCCCACCAAACAATGTTCTAAGAACCTTTTGTGGTTCCCACGAACATTTCTGGCTGGGACTGTCTTGCTTTAGCACATCGGGTTAACGTTCTAAGAACATCGTTTTGTTCTTCGAACATTTTTGGGTTCTAAGAACATTTCGTGATATGACTATAGGAATGCCAGGACGGTCGGTCCCTGTTCAAAATCGAGGAGCATCCTTGATCATTTGGCGAAAAAGCCACGCACGAAGCCGAACAAAACACAGGGAATGGACGTCCGAGCGATGGTCAGTCCGAGCGGCGGAGCGGAGCGAGAAGCCGGGGGCACCTCGGGCCAGGGGCGCCTCCGAGCACCCCCCGAGCGGAGGCCCAGCCAGGCTCAGGTCGGCAGGGCCCGCTCCGCAGCCGAGGCGGCGCGACGAAGGCGCGGCGCGGGCCGCGCGCCAAGCCGAAGGGCGCGGGGCGGGCAGGCCTGAGCGATGCCCACCAGGGAAGGAAGAGCCACCACCACCAGCTGCGGTCGGCCCTGATTGGTAGGTCGACCCTGTCGCATCAAGGCTACCCCTTGCGTCCTGTCTTCAGAGGCCCGTGCCCTCTACGTTCCCTGTGGCACTGGCAGCCCTCGGACGGGTCTTGCGTCCTCTCGCGTGTCCTCGCCGATCAGACTCGACTGTAGGGGGCTGGCCGCTCCTCTCCCCGAGCCGATGGCACCCCGTTCCAGGCGCGCCCCCAGGAGGTGCACGGAGCAGAGAGCCACCAGCTCGGGGGGGGGGGGCTCTGGGACCTGAGTTCTGGTAGAGACGGCTCTTTCTGTTCTTGTGAGATGCGCTGGTTCGGCAGCAGGCGGCCTTTGGCGACCGATCCATGGTTTGATTGCTTCTGTCTTCCGCAGTGGGGGGGCAGGAGTTGCCCGCCCCGGCCAGCGCCAGCTGCGAGCAGCAGGTCCGCGTTAGGTGCGCCAGCCGTTCCTCGGCCTGCTCCTCCTCCTCCTCCTCCTCCTCCTCCTCCTCCTCCTCCTCCTCCTCCTCCCCCTCCTCCTCCTCCTCCTCCTCCTCCTCCTCCTCCTCCTCCTCCTCCTCCTCGAGGTCTCGTCCGTAGCCATTTTGGCCCAAGATGGCACGCCATCGCGAGCCCAGCGTGGATACCGCTAGTCCGCGGCCAGTCCCAACAGTCTTGCAGCCACACCCAGGGACGATCTGCCGTCCATTCCTGCGTTATTTCCCGGCGTTGCAGGCCGCCTTTCATATTGCTGTGTGTCTCGTGAGCTTTGCGCCGAGCACCCATATCGTCTCGCACCCCGTGCCGAGCTTCCATCTTCCCGTATCGAGCCCCGTGCCGTGCATCCATATCGCCTCATCGTGTGCTGCTCCGCCCAGGTACGCAGTGGTTTCGCAGAGGACCTGGCCAGTGGCGAATCGTCGAACAGCATCCTCATACCAGCTGCCTGTACAACCACATCATGTCCGCCGTTTCGTCCCATAGGGACGACCTCTCCAGCGGTTCCACGTCCCGCAGCCGCCGAGACGACCGACGCCATCGTCGAGAGGTTTTGTGCCGCGACGAACGTCGTCATGAGGACCGCCACCATCGCAGAGAAGAAGCCCGCAGAGAGGGCCGACGTGCTGCTCGCGAACTCCTCGAACACAACGGCCACACAGGATTCGCCAGTCCAGGACCCGCAGGTGCTCCCCACCCCAACCGCATCCCCGTGCTGCAGGGCGGAGTACTGCACGCCTACCACCGACCCCATCACGCAAGACAGCCAGATCGGGAGGATGTGCAGCGCCCGAAACCCCCGCCGTGGCCATGGAAGCGGACACTAAGGCTCCACCTGGTCATGCTAAGCTCTCTTCCACCCCAGGTACCACCGACCCATGGACCAACTCTCGTTATGTCGAACAACAGCTGGGCTCCGCAGCTGCCGCACAACTTGCACGTGACATCGAAGTGGCTCTCACTTTTGCATCTCAACCCGACGCGGTACTAGCCAGTCCAGTCTGGGCACGCTACTCCTGGATCTGAACACCCACATCATCCACAACCAGAACGACATGACCCGCTTCCTGGGATACCCGAAGACCTGTGCGCGTTCGGATGCACGGACGCACCTGATTCATTTCCGCACTACCTCTCCTGCCCCGCCTTCTCGAGGCCCCCCTGGCTCCCCGACCCCCTCCTCATCCAATCAACGCCGACGGCATGGAGGCTGGGCCCTGCCGCAGCAGATGCAGCTGACCCCACCCGCCCTGTGTCTTCGCCGTCTACGGTCTCAAGGATCGTTCTGGCACACCCTATTTACAATAGGATGGCATCCACTGCCAGCGCGCGCACGGCGGCTGTCTCGCAAGCAGACCTGGTCGCCTCACGCCGCGCTGCTCTCGCATTACGATACAAGTAGAGGAGCTAGGCCAGAGCACAGCGGCTGAGACTAACTCTTTGCCCTCTTCTCGTTCGTGATCGTGCCCGCCTGCCCTTTCCTTCCCTCTGGGTACCCATGCTCCTCCTCGAGGTGTCGACCCCTTCCCCAGGACCAGTTCTTCGTCCCGGGTTGTTTCTTGAAGGTCCCGAGGCCGGGCAAGGGCCCCCGGAGGCCGAAAAGAGCGAAAAATTTGTTGTCGTGATTTTTGCCATGGCTCGAGGGGGTCTGGGTCTCGCGTTCCCCCTATACGCAGGCCCTCGTCGCCCCCCCTTCGCGCACCCGCCGCCCCAGTGCCCTCCTTCTCCCGAGCCAGCCAGCCAGCCAGGGCGGCACCGCGCGGCCCAGCGGGCCCAGGTGGGAGTACCAGCTCGGCGAGCTGCTCGACGACTTCGTGGACTCCTTCTCCGTGCAATGGGGCGCCAGCGAGACGGAGGCGGCTCCCCGACCCAGAGATCCAACGCATTTAAAAAATCGGGACGGCAAGGTGTTCGCAATTTTCTGCCTCGAGGGGCCCTCGCCGAGCCGCGGGACCGTCAAAAATCGACTCGGGATGAAAAACCGGCCTTGGGGAATGGGTCGAGAGTTCCGGGGGCCCCGTATTGAAAAAAACACGACATCGGATTTCTGGGGAAGGGCCAGGGAAAGCCAGAGGGGGTCTGGGCAGCCGGCGCCGTCAGCCCGCATGGCAGGGGTGACCAACTTTTGAAGGCTACCCGGGGTCGCTTTCGCTGGCCGCGCCCCGCCCGCTGAGTGTCGGCATGGCCTTCCAAGGTCCTTGCATCCTTGTCGCGCGTCCCGACTCCACGGGCTGACTTTGCTTGGCAGCAGCAGTCGGGTATAGCCAGGACCCTATAGGTAAGGGGACCCCGTTAGTGGTCGGGCCCCGGAGCACCGAAATTGATCAGTAAGCTGGGCCTGCCGTAACCTGTGTTTTCTTCGGGTGACGGCAGGCCCGGTTAGTGGAACGGGGCGGGGGGGGGGGCGTCCCCCAGTATCGGGTGTTGCCGGAAGTGCCCTTGGCCCAAGGTTGCCCCCAGCTTTTCGCTCCGTTTGGAGCCCCTGGGGCCCTCTGGGCCGCGTGATGGGGTGCCCTGGAGGCCGTCTGGGTGACCTTGAGAATCCTGGGGGTGCCCTGGGCCAGGGGTACTTCTGGCAACACCCGACAGTGCACATCACCAAGCCAGGTCCCCCTAAACCCAGTTCTGCCGGCGCCCGAAGCAGTGCTCCTGGACCCCGGAGGCCTGCGTTCCCGGGGGAGGGGCAGGCGGAGAGCGGGCCGAACGAAAGGGGGGGTGGAGGGCTGCGGGATCTGCTGCAGGCAGCTGGCTTCGGCCCCGCCGCCCGGCCTAGTCCTCGATACGCGGGCACCTCCCGGCGCCGGGAGGAGCGCTGGGAGAGAATCGGCTGCGTGAGCTAAGTCTCTACCCCACCCTTATCCCCCCCCCTTTCGCTCCCCCCGATGGCTGTGCTGGGCAGCAGCAGTGCTCTTGGACCCCGGAGGCCTGCTCTCCCCAGGATTAATTCGGGAGCCCCCAAACGGGATGGTTCGGGGGGGGACAGAGCCCCCACCCTGACACGTCGATTAGTGAATTGTCCGTTTTCGGTTCTCAAGAGGGCGCCGCGGCCGTCATTGTCCAGGCTTGCGCCCGCCAAGTTTGGGCCCGAGGTCGTTTTCACTAAACCACGTTTTACTAAAGGGGTTCTGTCCATCCCCGAGTGGTGACCGCACCGCGTGGTGAGTCGGTGGGGATTCGGGGTCGCCGCGCGGTTCGGGGACTCGGGTCGTTCTCCGAGAACGCCTCGGCCGACGGGGGCTTCCGAGGTCCCGAAACCGTGCGTGAGCCGAAGAAAGAAAACCATCAACCTGAATGTTTGGCGCTCCGCTCGGATTTCTTGGGTCCGCGCCTGGGCCCCCTGGCGGCGCCTCCGGCGCCGCCCCTGGCGCGCTCCGCGCGCCGGGGAGGCGCGGATCCAAGAAATCCGCGCGGAGCGCCAAAAGTTTATGTTTACAGCGTTTTTCTCCTGAGGATCCAAGTGTGGGCTTGCGTTGTTTGAGGCACCTCGTCCCAAGGCACATCCTCATCATCCTCCTCCTCCTCCACCTCCTCCTCCTCCTTATCCTCCTTCTTCTTCTCCTCCTCCTCCTCCTCCTCCTCCTCCTCCTCCTCCTCCTCCTCCTCCTCCTCCTCCTCCTCCCTCCTCCTCCTCCTCCTCCCCTCCTCCTCCTCCTCCTCCTCCTCCTCCTCTTCCTCCTCCTCCTCCTCCTCCATCCTCCTCCTCATCTCCTCATCCATCATCATCATCATCATCCATCATCATCATCATCATCATCATCAATCATCATCATCATCATCTTCTCCTGCTCCTGCTCCTCCTCCTCCTCCTCCTCCTCCTCCTCCTCCTCCTCCTCCTCCTCCTCCTCCTCTTCCCCCTCCCCCCCCTCAGGAGTTGAGCACCCGAGCATTCCAGTGGTTCCAAGACGGGGTCCTGAGGGGTGGGGGCCGAAGGATAATTAGGAGAGGATCCAAGTGTGGGCTTGCGTTCCCAGACGTGCGACGTCCTGCTTTGTTTCAGGGCGGCGTCCCCAAGAAGTCCAGACCCGTTCCCCGGGGCCGGTTTTTCATCCTGAGTCGTTTTTGCGACGGTCCCGGGGACCGGCGAGGGCCATCCGGGGGCCGAAAATAGCGAAAAACTTGCCGTCCTGATCTGTTCTACGACACGATCATGGCTGGGTCGTTTGAGGCACCTCGTCCCAAGGCCCCCATCCCTCAGGACCCCACCTTTGAGCAACCCGAGCGTTGCGGCCTGCCCTTGGCCCAGGGCGCGCTGCGGCGGGGAGGGCGGGGCGAGGGCAGCCCGTCGCGAGCAGGCCCAGGGAGGCGCCGGGCGAGGCCGCGGGAGGCTCGGGACGGCCAGGAGGGGCCCAGAGAGGTCCGAGGGTCCAGAGTCGGCCACGCGCAGAGGGGGGTAGGGGGAGGGGGGAGGGCTTCTCAGAAGCACTGCTGCTTCTTAGAAGGCGCTGGCCTGCTCTGTGGATGTGAGGCTGGGGCCCTCGAAGCAGCAGCGGGCTCCTAAGAAGCCTGCCCCTTTTGCGCGCCCCCAACAGAGGGACCCAGAGAAGGCCGGGGGCCCAGTGGGCGAACAGCCCAGGGGCGACCCACACACGCATCCAGGGGCGCCGATGATCCACGTCTCCGGCGCGGCTCCCGCAGGGATGCGTGTAGTGCCCCCCCCGCTTCATGCCCGTGCGCCCCCCATCGTCGCCCCCGACATTGGGGGGGCGAGGGCGCCGTCTGTGTAGCCAGTTGGCAGCTCGGCGCATCGGCTGGGTCTGGGCAGCCAGTCGGCAGTTGCACCGACCGAGCTCGTCACGGCCGTTTGCCCGCTTAGTCTTGAATGAGCAGGGCTCTGCGCCCGCGCCCGCGAGGAGAATCTGTGCCTGGGAGACCTCCCGACGCAGTCGGCCCACCCCCCGCAGCCCCCCAGAATCCCATCAAGAGGACCGGTGCGCTTGGGCCTGGGATCGCGGGATGCCAGGGTCACCCCAGTCAACAATACCACAGATGCGGATAGGAGTGAGGGGCGGTGGGGACGTCGGCAGTTTGCGAGACTCTGGAGAAGCCCGACGCAGGCGCCAAAGTTTTTCAAATTATACAACGAGCCCGCCGCAGGTGCCGATTTTTTCGTTATGAACCGGTGTGGGCAGGTCGCGGGTGGGTCGCAAATGGGTCGCGGGCGGGGTACTGCAGAATCCCGTCAGAAAAAAAAACAGTCGTACTTGCTCACAAGATCGTGCCATGGCGTAGAGATCCCGCAAAGCCCCGAGCCCCGCATTGCGTTGCCGCGAAGATTCCGGAGCGCCGATGAGGGACCACTGGCGACCCTCCCATTACCATCGTCAGCATTCCCTATGATTTTGGTTGTTCGGTTGCAGTGAGCTCCCGGATCACGGAGTCTGCATTGTCGCGTCGGGCGTCCCAGAGTGCGGCACAGCTGCGCTGCGCTCCTGGAAGGACTCGGCAGGACGCGCGCTACCACCATTTTCACTGCAGCGTCCGTATCCATTCTTGCTCCAGCGACGCAGACGCCACTGAGAATGGCTCGGAAGCAATGGCGTGCTCGTGCCAAACAAGCGCTGGCTCGTACCCATGACCACGGAATCCAGACCCAAAACATTGAAAGCAGAAGCCTTCCCATGTCTGATCCAGACAGGGGAGAGTTCATGCTTCGATGCTTCTGTTCGCTTTGAAATGAGCGTTTTGCGCTTTCGCCGCGAGGCGGCGATGGTTGCCGTCGAGCAAACCCCCCTTCTTGAAGTATACGACTCCGCGCGGGCCTGGGAATTCAAAGTTGGGATAAGAAATTGGCTGTACGTCAATGTAGCACCCATTCAGGGCCGAGTGTTCTAGCCGACGACCCACACCCACGCGTCGACTTCTGAGATCTTCTCATCCCCAACAGCCTAGATCAGTAGCGTTGCTGTACATTGCCATTGTATTTTCTCGCTAGCCCTCAATTTCATGTTAGGGCAAATTGAGCCGACCCACCCTAACACTGTGTTGGAAAATCTGCGCGGCACCCAGATAACACACGTTCCCTATAGTACCCTTCGCCCCCCGGCATTCGAGTCGCAGCAAGGCAGTTGCCAAGCCGCCGAGCCACAAGGACGTTGCTAGACACCGTGCAACGCCAGCAGCGTGCAGCGTTTGTAACCCAGCTGAGCCGGAAGGCACACTCATCTCTTTTCCACTGGCGCAGAGCCTCGGCAATGGTCGGGAGACTTCACGTCGAGCACGGCTCCATGTCGCCCCACTCTCCAAGAAGGCCGTCAGAGCCAGCCTCCGTGGCTTACATTTCCCAGTTGCGCGCTGTAGCCAACCTCTTCTCGCCAGGAGGCGGCGGCCACTTCTCTCATCTATTGATGTCCGTGTCCGTTTTCCCGCCTCTGCTCTCCTCTCCTTCCTACTCATCCTCATCCTCCTTCTCCTCCGCCTCCTCCTTCGCCTCCTCATTCTCCTCATCCTCGTCCTCGTCCTCTTCCTCCCTCCCCCGTCCTCCCTCCTCCCTCCTCCCTCCTCCCCTTGCTCCCCCTCCTCCTCATCCCTCCTCCCTCTCCTTCTCCTCCTCCTCCTCCTCCTCCTCCTCCTTCTCCTCCTCCTCTTCCTCCTCCTCTTCCTCCTCTTTCTGCTCCTCCTCGTGCCGTCGTGCCGTCTTCCCGCCAAGGCTGCCATTTGCCCACCTCGTCGGATAGGACAGGCTCGATGCGCCACCCTTGGGGCGTGTCAGCTGCACCGTAGGACGAGGAGGGGCAACCAGAGACGACGACGCGGCGTAAAAATCCGACAGGGTGCTGCCGCACGGGCAGACCGTAGCAGGAAGACCGCGCGAGTGCGGAGTCCCCCCGCCTTCGTTCCCCGTGTCTCGCTGCACTGCTGCCTGCCCCCACTCACCGTTCGGATCGCGCCCGTCCCAGCTCACTTCCGCCCCTCAGGCGTGCTATTTCCCCCAAGAAGGAGGAGGGCAATGGGGGAGGAGGGGGAGGAGGAGGGGGAGGGAGGAGGAGGAGGAGGAGGAGGAGGAGGAGGAGGAGGAGGAGCAGCAGGAGGAGCAGCAGGAGGAGCAGCAGGAGGAGGCAGGAGGGGGGGGGACGAGGAGGAGGAGGAGGTGGAGGAGGAGGAGGTGGAGGAGGAGGTGGAGGAGGAGGAGGAGGTGGATGAGGAGGAGCAGCAGAGGAGCAGCAGGAGGAGGAGGAGGAGGGGACGAGGAGGAGGAGGAGGAGGAGGAGGAGGAGGAAAGGCCAGATCAACGATTGTTGGGGTGCCATAGCGCACGGGCTCTGTTCAGGTGTTCGGTCAGTGAGAACGCTTTGGGGCGCTGCGAAAAGAAGGAAGGAGGAGGAGGATGTGAAGGAGGAGAAGGGGAGGAGGAGGAGGAGGAAGGAGGAGGAGGAGGAGGAGGAGGAGGAGGAGGAGGAGAGGAGGAGGAGGAGGAGAGGGAGAGAGGAGGAGAGGGAGAGGAGGAGGAGTGAGGAGGAGAGGAGGGGAGGAAGGAGAAGGAGGAGGGAGGGAGAAGGGAGGGGAGGAGGAGGAGGAGGGGAGGAGGAGGAGGAGGGAAGGAGGAGGAGGAGAGGAGGAGTTGGAGGAGGAGGAGGAGGAGAGGAGGAGGAGGCGGAGGAGGAGGTGGGAAGAGGAGGAGGGAGGAGGAGGAGGAGGAGGACGAGGAGGGACGAGGAGGGAGGGAGAGGAGGAGGAGGAGGAGGAGGAGGAGGAGGAGGAGGAGGAGGAGGAGGAGTAGAAGGAGGAGGAGTTGAGGAGTTGGAGAGAGGAGGAGGAGAGGAGGGAGGAGGAGGAGGATGCGGAGGGAGGGAGGGAGGGAGCGAGGGAGCGAGGAGGAGGATGAGGAGGAGGAGGGAGGAGGAAGAAGGAAGGAGGAGGACGATGAGGAGGAGGAGGAGGAGGAGGAGGAGGGGAGGTGGGAGGAGGAGGAGGGGAGGAGGGAGGAGGAGGACGAGGAGGACGAGGAGGGAGGCGGAGGAGGAGGAGGAGGAGGAGGAGGAGGAGGAAGAGGAGAGGAGGGAGAGGAGGAGGAGGAGGAGGAGGAGGAGGAGGGAGGAGTTGGAGGAGTTGGAGGAGTTGGAGGAGGAGGAGGAGAGGAGGAGGAGGACGGAGGAGGAGATGAGGGAGGGAGGGAGGGAGGGAGGGAGGGAGGGAGGGAGCGAGGAGGAGGAGGATGAGGAGGAGGAGGAGGAGGAGCTCGCACTAAACCCCCCTGCGCCGCCCGCAAGCAGGCTCTCGGAGACTCCATGGAAGGCGCTGACGCGCACCGCGTTTGCCCCGCGGCGTCCGCTGACCAGACGCCAAATCAGGCGGCCTTGGCTTCGTGCGTCGGGAGTACTGATGGGCTTGTTTTCTTTCCACCACCACCACCATAAGATGGAGGGGGAGGGAGTCCTCCTCCTCCTCCACCTCCTCCTCCTCTCCTCCTCATCCCTCTCCCCTCCTCCTCCTCCTCCTCCCCCCTCCTCCTCCTCCTCCTCCTCCTCCTCCTCCTCCTCCTCCTCCTCCTCCTCCAACCTATGGTGGTGGTGGTGGAAAACAGGCCCATCACTTTCCCCGATCCATGGATCGCGGGTGCCCGACACTCCAGAGGCGATTGGGAAGGGTTCAACGGAAGCGTCTGGGAGTGATCTTCCCCCTCCCTCCCCCCCGCTTCTATCCAGGCGTGCCCGTGCGCATGATAGCGCCTTGGCCGGCTCCCCGTTGAAAGGCCCAGGAGCGATGCCTGCCAATTCGCGGGGGCCATGGGGTGCTGGCAAGAAAAGCAGGTATCTCCCGAAGCGAGCGTGCGACTTGGTAGCCCTCACCAAGCCAGGCGCGAAAGGCCCTACACTGATCTGCCCCGCGTGGGAGGCCCGCGCACGATGCCTGCCACAATGCGGTGGCCACGGCCGTCTGCAGAGCGACGTGTGTACCGTTCCATGTGTTTTCGAGAAGTCTCACCACTCTGAGCGCGAATGCGCCCGTTGGTCGGCTCTCCTTTCAGGGCCCGTGTGCGAGGATGGCCGCACGTTGGTGACCACGGGAGGCTCTGCAAAGAGTCGTCAGGTTCAAGCGCGGCGCTGGGAAGCGGTGCGTTCCTCGCCCGTCTGGGAGCGTGAGCGGCCAGATGCCCCCCTCGCCTCTCCCGCGCCCCGGGTCGACCTCGGGCCCATGGGGGGCCCACGCAGCGCGCCCGCAGAGCCCCGCGAGGGTGGGCCGTCGGATCGCGAGCATCCCCGTCTACGCCGATGACGAGCTGCAGGTGCCCCCCCTCGGCCGTGCTCGCGTGCGCGAGCAGGGCCCAGATCGCGAGCCGCAGCCCTGGCAGAGCCCCAGAGACGTCCATGCCCGATCCCCGCCCTGGATCGCGCGACAGATCTCACAGTGCACGCGGCACGCGTCCCATGGATGAAGCCCCTTCCGCTGGTGCGGATCCTCCCCAGTGGAGGGAGGAGGGCACAGACAGGCGCGGCGCATGGACTGAGCCTCGGGACCGGGTGTTGCTAGAAGTGCCCCTGGCCCAAGGTGCCCCCAGGATTTCCCAGGAGCCCACAATGGAGCGAAAAGCTGGAGGCACCTTGGGCCAAGGGCACCGATGGGAGGGGGGGAGGTGGAGAGGAGGGCCTTGGGAGGGGGAGGCAGGAAGGCCTGGAGGGCGTCGGGCCACAGGGGAGGGCGCGGGGGCCTTGGGACAGGGAGAGGCACGCGAACAACACACGGGTTAGAATTTGCAAGTGCCGCGTGCCGCGTCAGGTCTACCGAGCGGCAGATCTGAAAACGAATGGCCCGCGCAGGAGTAGAGCAAGGAGGCCTCTAAATGCCGTCTCGTGCCCCTCTTCGGGCGTGGCGGGGCGGATTTGGAGGGTTTTGGGCCCGTCTTGGGGTTGGCTCAGGGGCCACATTGGCCTATGGTGGTCGAGCCTGGAGCCCTCTTGGAGACTCGCGAGGGCCTCTTGGAAACCCTTGGAGCTCGTCTCGAAGCTATCTCGAGGTGAGGTGAAAACATGGAATGACAACCTGTGAGGGAAACAAGTGGCGAACTTTGTGTGGTGTCTGCCTAGGAGTAGGGGTGTTCAATGTACTAGATTCGGGCCTCGTGGGGCCCATCTCGGGGCTTTATGGTTCGGTGTCGAAGCTCGTTGGGCATCTTGGAGTCCTGTGTAGGCCGTCTTGAAGGGCATTCTTAGGGGGCAGATCGGGAGGAGAGCACGGGCCAGGGGGGTGGGGGGCGACGACGCACACAGCTGTGCAAGACACTTCGTTTCACGCGCACCGCCTCCTGCACAGTTCTTGTTCTGCTTATGAGTCACCCAGCTCCGAGAAACCCTCGTGGTGACCGGAGCCGAGTGGCGTTGCATCGATCTTCCGTTCAGGTGGGGTAGCGAGGGTTCAGAGATGTCCTACGGAAGTAGCACATCGTGGCAACAGCCGTCAATTTCCGACGCCCCGCCTCGCAGTGTTCCCCTCACTCTTCATCAGCTTCGCTCCGTGCTAGGAATGTGGGCCACCACAACGGGCCTTGCACTTCGCGAGATCGTGCCCTGGCTGGCTGTCGAAGTTTGCTCCCGACTTTGAACTAAACGACCCCGCATGTCCAAGCTCGCGACTCGATGACGACGATGATGACGACGACGACGACGACGACGACGACGACGACGACGACGACGACGACGACGACAACAGCAATTTCTGGTGCTGTGCTGCGGCGCGCGTGTCACGGCGCAGCCTGACAGAAAGGCGGTCGGCCCAGCCAGGGGTCTGCGAACTTGACTCCAGACTCGATTGCAAAGTTCTCTCGAGCCGACGCTGCGGACAGAATTGCCTGCGTCGTCGTCATCGTCGTCGTCGTCACCAGCTGTATTGCCCTAGTCGTGTACACGCCCCGAGGATTCAAGTACAGTGGGGGTCCATGCAAAGAAACACCCTGCTTGCCTCCAGGGTACCCTCGGTTTCTTGGGTTTCGACGGCTTTGCCATGGAGAGCGCGACGTTCCCACACCAAAAATTAACAGACGTTCTGGGGTCTCAGGGTTGGGTTTCTTGTGGAAGGTTTCTTGTGGACGGGCCTCCACTGTACATCAGAGGCGGGCGCCCTTCCCGGCAGGAAGCAGAGCGCCCGCCTCGCCAAGACCCTCCCGTGAGGCGGGCCGCCCCGGGCGCTGCTCGGGCGCCTGGCCTGCGCGCGTGTGTCTGCAGCAGGCGTGCACGGCCCGAGCTGCCGTGGTCGACCTGGCCTGGCGCCAAGGTCCGTCGGAGGCTGATAGACCTGCCCTGACACGTCGATGAGCGAATTGGCCGTTTTCGCTTCGCGCGAGGGCGTCGCGGCCGTCGTTTTTGCGGGTCCAGGTGCGACGGTTTCGGTCCTGGGCAGTTTTCGCTATGGTAAACCCGCATAGTGAGGATGGGCAACTTTTCCAAGGGTACCCTCGCATCCTTGCCTCCTCGGTCCATCCTTGGCCACTTTCGCTGGCCGCGCCCCGCTCGCAAGGTGTCGACATGGCCTTCCAAGGCCCTTGCATCCTTACCGCGCATCTTTACTATACTGGTTGAATGTAAAGGGTGGTTCACTTAAGGGAGGTTTGTCCACCGCCGAGTCCGAGGCTGGGGCGGGGGCCGGGCGGGGCTCGGGGGCTCTGCGGCGGGAAGCCGGGACACGCAGGGCGCCTTTCGACTCGGGCGCTGAGCAATGCCGGTGTGGTGGACACGTGCGCTTATGTGCCCTAAAGAGGCCCTCCAAGAGCCCTCTTCTCAGGTGCACCTGGAGGGGCCCGAGGCCCTCAATCAAGTAAAGTGCACCCTCTGTGCCCTTAAGAGGCCCTCAAAGAGGCCTCTTCTCAGGTGCACCAAGAGGGGCCTAAAAGAGGCCCTCAAGAGGCCCTCCATCAAGACAAGTGCACCCTCTGTGCCCTAAAGAGGCCCTCAAAGAGGCCTCCTCTCAGGTGCACCAAGAGGGGCCTAAAAGAGGCCCTCAAGAGGCCCTCCATCAAGAAAAGTGCACCCTCTGTGCCCTAAAGAGGCCCTCAAAGAGGCCTCCTCTCAGGTGCACCTAGAGGGGCCTAAAAGAGGCCCTCGAGAGGCCCTCAATCAAGAAAAGCGCACCTTCTGTGCCTTGAAGAGGCCCTGCAGGGCCCCCCCTGGGGCCAGAAGGGGCACGGAAGGTGCACGCTTCTCCCCACCAAACTATCGCCCCCAAACACTCAACGCCCGATCGACTCCTCCGGCTCGGGTCGATTGGATTTCGGTCGATCCGATGCCGATCCGATGCGAGTTCGGATTCCGATGTGGATTTCGATTTCCCCATGGTGACCTCAGTAGCCTGCCGATCTCTGCCGACTCGACTCCTGCCCGACTTGGCTGCCGATTTCTGCCGATCCGATTCGCTTCGATCGCCGATCCGACTTACAGACGCTGGAATGAGGAACAGCCTGTGTTCGGAAGGGGCTCGATGTTCCTCAGGTCCTTCCATGGCTGTTCCTCCAGCCCCCCTCGTGCGCGCAGGCGCTTTTCGGGCCCAACATGGGCTTCGTTCCCGATTTGGCGGTCCTGAGTGCAGCAGTTCCCAGAGATCCGATGTCGTGATTTGTTCATTACGGGGTCCCCGGAAGTCTCGACCCATTCCACAGAACCGGTTTTTCATCCTGAGTCGTCTTTTGACGGTCCCGCGGCCGGCGAGGGCCCTAGAGGCCGAAAATTCACAAAAACCGCCGTCTTGATTTTTCAGGACGAGGGGGAGGAGGAGAAGAAGGAGCAGGAGGAGGAGGATGCTGATGCTGATGTTGATGCTGATGCTGATGATGATGCTGCTGATGATGATGGCGATGATGATGATGATGATGATGATGATGATGATGATGATGATGATGATGACGATGATGATGATGATGATGATGATGATGATGATGGTGATGATGTGATGGATGGGATGGTGATGGTGATGATGGTGATGGTGATGGTGATGGGATGGTGATGTGATGGTGATGGTGATGGGTGATGATGATGGTGATGATGAGATGATGTGATGGTGATGGTGATGGTGATGGTGATGGTGATGGTGATGATCATGATCATGATCATGATCATGATCATAAGGATGAGGATGAGGATGATGATGATGACGATGACGATGAGGATGAGGATGAGGATGAAGATGAGGATGAGGATAATAATGAGATGATGATGCTGATGCTGATGATGATGATGATGACGATGCTGATGATGATGATGATGACGATGATGATGAGGATGAGGATGAGGATGAGGATGAGGATGAGGATGAGGATGAGGATGAGGATGATGAGGATGAGGATGAGGATGAGGATGAGGATGAGGATGAGGATGATGATGATGATGATGATGATGATGATGATGGTGATGATGATGATGATGATGATGATGATGATGATGATGATGATGATGATGATGATGATGATGATAATGGTGGTGGTGATGATGCTGCTGCTACTGCTGATGCTGATGCTGATGCTGATGCAGATGAAGGGTCCCGTGGGAAACAGGTCCGGAGGTTTTTCGCCGTTGTTGGGCTGTCGGGGCCCTCCACGGGCCCCGGGACTGTCAGGAAACGACTCAGGATGAAGAACTCGTCCTGGGAATATGCCCCAGGGTTGAGGTCCCTCAGGACCCGTGACCCCCATTCTAAGGGGGGGTAGTGGAAGTTGGAGTCCTTGGACGAAGTTCTACCAACGCTTACTCAGACCGCTCATGGACTTTCGAATCTTCACGGGCGATCTCTGCATTATTGTAGGCATTGGGCCAGCGCCCCAGAGAAATGCGCCTCAAATATTCCTGACGGGTCTGAGTGGAGCGACCCGAGCACTCGGCACCCAAATCAAACGACTGTCGATCCCAAAACACCCCACAAGACGCACAGAACCAAACCCCCGGGTCCTGAGGTCCTGGCGCAGTCTCGTAATACAATGGGAGGGGTCGACCCAACCTCCAGCAGTATGAATGTGAATCGAAGCCCCCTCAGGAAGTGCACGAAGGGAGCCATCTAATTCAACTCAATCAAACCACGGTGACTCACGCCAAACTCGAACGCGGGCAACGGACGCCGTCCCCCGACACTGTCGGCACCGCCGCCCACCTTTCGTCGAGAGCGTGAGACGTTTCAAGGATAGAGACAGCGTCAGGCTCAGGAGGGGGAGGAGGCGCAGGGGAAGGAGGAGGAGCGTTCTCACTGCTCGCGGCAGCGTCTTGGCCAGGCGCCTGGGGGCCCTCCCGCTGGCTCCCTGCCTCCTCCGAC